ATTTTTAAGGTATTGAATTAGCTCTTTCAAAGTGGGGAATCTTCTTGTTACAATGCAAGTATGTCTTGGGACTAAACTAGTTAAAACCATGGATCCTAATGCTGTGATGTTGGTGGGATTAATGATGTTAAACAGCTTTTGCAATAACACTTTCTAACCAAGGATTTAGGTTCCTTGAAATATTTTTAAGGTATTGAAGTAGCTCTTTCAAAGTGGGGAATCTTCTTGTTACAGTGCAAGTATGTCTTGGGACTAAACTAGTTAAAACCATGGATCCTAATGTGAAGACGACTAATAGTCAAGGGGAGCCATTTATTGATTCTAGAAGGTAAAGGAGATTAGTTGGTAAACTAATTTATCTCACAATCACCCATTTGGATATCTCCTTTAATGTAGAGGATCTAAGCCAGTTCATATAGAATCCCACAACCATTCATTGGGAAGGTGTTGTAAGAGTGTTGAGATATCTAAAAGATGCTCTAGGCCAGGGATTGCTATACGAGGGGGAGAACTAACCTAGGAGGGATATTTTGATGCAGATTAGGCAAGTTCCTTAATGGTTTGGAGGTCTACTATAGGCTATTGTACTTTTTTGTGTGTTAACCTCAACACTTTGAAAAGTAAGAAGTGGAGTGTGGTTGCTAGTAGTAGTTCTGAAGCTGAGTATAGAGCAATGACACACACCACATGAAAAATTGATTTGGCTGAAACATCTACTCTAAGAGATAGGCATTCCTATGGGAAAACCTATCAACTTGTTTTGATAGTTAGGCTGCTATACATATTGAATCCAATCTGGTCTTTCATGAGAGGACCTAGCATATAGAAGTTGATTGTCATTTCGTGAGAGAAAAGATGGCAAACGGTGATATTGTTACTCCGTATGTTACCAAAAGCTTGTGCTGCACTAGGATGGATTATATCTATAATGAGCTGGAGCCAGTGTTTTAAAAGCGCAAGGCGCAAAAAAGGTGCAAGGGCCATTTTGTGCCTGAGGCATAAGGCGAGGTGCGCGCTTTTTTGAGGAAGGCGCACAATTTAAAAAAAAAAGCTAAAAATTAAAAAAAAATCAAAAAATGCAAAAGAATTCCAAAAAATCAAAAAATTATAAAACATAATATTAATAAAAATATAAACTTAAGTTTTGAAATAAATGTTTTTAAAAACCTATTATCTAAAATGAAAATACATAAACATAATATGTAAAGCATATTCAAATGAGAATTTAAAAATGAAATCAAACATATAAAACATTTTCAAGCATATAAAACCCATAATCTCTTTTTTTCCCAATTGCATCAAGTAGCTAATGTGACATATTACAATCCTAATCCTACGAGCTGCCTTTGTGCCACGCCCCTCGAGGCAAGCCCAAAGAAGTCCATGTTAGGGTCTTAAATTCTTAGTTTTCACACAAAAAATAATGATTTTATAGTTTTAATTGCTTTTAAGAAGATATTTTATTAGGATGAATGAATGGACAACATTACCAAATAGGGGGTTCTTGAAGCCCCCGACCCAATCGCCAAACTCAAAAAGGAAAAAGCGGCAAATTTTCAAAAGGCGAACGCCTGGGCTAAGGTGCAAGGCGAACACCTAGGTACACTAGGCGTGTGCCTTTTGAATGGGCTGCGCCTAGGACCTGAGTGAGGCGCCTACCCTAAAATGCGCCTCACCTGTGCGCCTAGGCRTGCCTGAGGCACACCTTTTAAATCATTTGCTGGAGCTTTATGTTATATATGCTCTAGCTTGGGGGGAGAGTATTGAAATGTATGCCCATAAGGGGCATTTTTGTCTTTCAAATATGGCTTTGTAAGACTCCTTTTAAGAATCACTTAACAGGGGCATTTCTGTAATTTGAACATCTATTACAAATGAAATAAAAGTTTAGGTCCACAAGAGAAGAAGACTTGTTTAATTAAATATTATTTTTGTTTCAATTTTATTGAACTTTGGAATTCAGATGTGACAAGTTACAAGGTTCAATAGGAAAAAAGAAAATTGAGTTGAAATTTCAATGAGTGTAAACTAGACCTGGCAATTGGGTCAGGTCAAAGCAATTTGAAGTCATTTTGGGTCGGGTTGGCAAAGGCTAGACCTAACCCTAAATATTCAGGTTAGGGTTGACCCATGGGTCAGATCGGTCAATGGTTCAGCCGCTTGGGTCAGCTGGTTTTTGACCAAGTCAACAGCTTTTACCAAAATATGGGTTTAACTGTTTGATTCAAACGGTTTGAACAGATCAACCATTCAGGTAAACAAAAAAAAGGGCAGCCCAGTACACAAGGTTCTTGCCATGCGGGGTTTGGGGAGGGAAATGTACGCAACCTTACTCCTATACAGAGAGGCTGTTTCCAAGATTTGAAAATGTTAGTCTAAAAACGCGACCCGACCTAGTTCATGTCTGCTACTTCAAGTCACTAGACAGGGGATCCTAACCCTCTTTTTTTAGGCCAGATGAGGTTCAAACACACTTTGGCCTGTTTTCCCAGGTGAGGGTATGGAAGTAGGTTATGGGATCTAAATGTTGTACATTATCAACCCACAAATTTAGGATATAGAGAACTATGTAACTCAGGCCACGGTTGGTAACGATGAATTTGCCTCTTTAACTTTGAAAAACTTACTTTTTAGAGGTAATAAGCGTTTGGGGTCATGTCCGAAAAGTTGATCTGAATGCCACTTTCAGATCTTAAACTTTAAGACCCAGGCCAGGCATTGAATGCGGTCAGATGCGTTTCAGACCTGGCTGAAAGTCTAAAATATCCTTTATATTTTTAATAATGACATATCATATCCTTCATATTTCATTACCATCAAACGAGAAGGGAGACGGTGATGGAGAACTTAAAGAAACCCTATAATGGAGGTGTCACCGGAAATCTCTCAAATCCCATTCTTCCCTCTCTCTCTCTCTCTAAGAATTCGAAGAAAGGGTTCYGGTCCTTCACGATCATTTCTGTTCAAGTTTCTCTGGTACAAAGAAAAAATYGTCGATCTCCACCTCTGTTGGCATGTTCTTCATCTTCGATCTCTGGCTTCGAGTTCGTCGTCGATCTCCATTGTCTTCTCTGCCCTAGTTGGCTTTGAGTTCGTCGCCGATCTCTATTGCAAGAGGCCTCACTATGAAATCCTGCCACCTTGGTTGCAACTCTCAGTAGCGGCGGTTAACACCCTCCCTCCCCCTCTCTCTCTCTCTCTCTCTCTCTCTCTCTCCCTCGCCATCTCTTCTCCACTCCCAACCATTGTCTTCTCCGCCCCATTTGGCTTCGAGTTCGTTGTTGATCTCTGTTGCAAGAGGCCTCGCTGTGAAATCCCGCCACCGCCATTGCAATGTTCAGCAGTGGCGGTTAACACCCTCCCTCCCTTTCTCTCTCTCTCTCTCTCTCTCCCTTTCCATCTCTTCACTCCTGACCATTGTCTTCTTCGCCCCATTCGCTACCTCTACAACTAATGTAAGCCAAAATATGTAAAGTTAATTATTAAATATTTTAATAGCTTTTAAGATTTAATTTTCTAATTATGAAATATTTTTAAATTGTTTCATAGACTTTATTACTATTGTTATTATTATTTTAATTCTTAATTTATAAATTTATGCATACTTTCCAATTTTATTCTTATTTTAATTAATTAATTATTAATTTTTATAATTTTTATTTGTATTAATTATTAAATGTTTTAATAGTTTTAAGATATTAATTTGCTAATTATTAAATATTCTCATTGCTTCATGGACTTTATTACTATTTTCAATATTATTTTAACTTTTAATTATTTATTTTTAATTTATAAGTTTATATGTATTTTTCAATTTTATTCTTATTTTAATAAATTATTTTTTATTTTTATAATTTAATCATATTTTAATATTATTTTTGAATTTAATAATTTATTTATATGAAATAGTACAAATTGAGCTCAAATTTACCAAATAGTCTATTTAGGGGTAAAATAGTAAAATCAAGGCATTTTAGATGTTAAAGGTTTGGTCCAAACACAAACAAGCTTAATATTCAGAGCCTCTAAAAAGTAGAAAAGCATTAATGCCTCTTTTCAGATTCCAGACACTTTTAATATCTTTTTAACTTTTCAGATTTCAGATCAGATTTATCAAACACCACCTCAGTCTGTTATTTAGAACATTGCAATTGCCATATAGGTGTGCTTTGCAAGTTATTTGTAATAATTGTTTTTATTTTCTAATTCCTATTATGTTACAATTTGTTAAATGTTTGGAAAACAAGCATACCTGGGGAGGATGGATAAATCAAAATACCTTGAAGTTTAATCCATAAGGACAAGCATACCTAGTGGACTGTGGACCTGCATGGTCTAGAACCATTTGCGGGTTGCACCTTTTGTCATGCCATTGTTTAATTGGCCAGAGAGAACTTGTTAATCAGAAAAGTTGGATGTGCCTTAAAAGATGAAATTTAGATCCCCTATACGGTTATAGTCCACCCTGCTTCTAGAAAGAGAGTCAGCTAGAGTACTTGCTGTACTTAAGGTTCAACTGAATGAGGTGTGCATACCATGAACCAAAGCTGCCACTTCTACAATGTAATCTGTTCACACCTATAAAGTCCTCATCAAACCTCTTGTAGACCTTCCTTGAATTATACTCCTAATTTCCATTAGCAAATGATAGGAACATGTCAAGGTAGCCATTGTGATATTAAAAAAACACTGAACTGGACTAAGATGGATTTTCAATTATTTTTCGGTACTTAAATGCAGATAGACTAGCAGCAGATTACATCTTTCAAACGTCATGTGCTTATTAATTAGTCTCGTTAACAAAATAAATTGAATAAACGTCAATGCTCATTCAGTGTACTTGTATTAATATTGTTGTGACATTTAAAGTTGCTAAAAGAAGGGTTTTCTTTTGGTTAGACTGGGATTACCTGAAGAGTATATCCAATCATCCTTTATTTGTTCTGCAACTTACTAACAGGCTTCACCATACCTTTGTTTTTTTTCTTTGATTTATTTAGGTCACATCACCCTATGGAAACATTCTTCATCACCTGGAAAATGTCACCAACGGTCAGTTTGCATTCACAGCATTTGAATCTGGGAACTACCTTGCCTGTTTTTGGATAAATGACCCTCACCAAGGAGCAGGGGCAAGCATTAACCTTGAATGGAAAACTGGAGTTGCAGCAAAAGACTGGGAAACAATTGCGAGAAAAGAGAAGATTGATGTGTGTGCTTATCCCTGTATTTATAATTTTAGGACTGTTCATTTTTTCTTCCTTAGTCTTGGACAATGTTTGCATGGATGCGTAAATCTTGTACCTTTGTTATACAGGGTGTGGAGGTTGAGTTTAGGAAACTTGAAGGAGCGGTGGAGGCCATTCATGAAAATTTGCTCTATTTGAAGGGCAGGTATTGCTTTTGTTGTGATTCAATACATCCAAACTTAGTTGCTACTGTCTATACAAGTTGAATAGCGTGTGATTTTTTTTCTTGGTTATTCGTTCACAGGGAAGCAGACATGAGGGAACAGAGTGAAACAACCAATGCCCGAGTTGCATGGTTCAGTATCATGTCCTTGGGCGTCTGCATAGTGGTTTCAATTTTGCAGGTGTGGCATTTGAAGCGTTACTTCCGAAAGAAGAAGCTTATTTAGATTTAAATATTTAATTGTATTCTGATGCAAAACTCACCAATATTTCGAGGGATGGAAGGTTTAGAACTGAGTTAGAACTTTTTGTATGTTTTTTTTTTTTATTTTTTTATTTTATTTTCTTAGTTTCTACCCTAGGGGGAAGTTTGTAGAATTCTGGGTTCTGGCCTTGTTGAATGAGGAAAATATGGTATCCCAAAGCTGCTGAACAAAGTGTTTACTGATCATATCTTCTACATGTACACTCAATTTCATTTCAGCTCGAAAAAGTTGAAGATATCCCCAAGATCATGTATACATTTATTACATTTAGTTCCATACTTGAAATTCTTGTCATTTAGTCGTTTTTGCTTAAGGCCTGAAATTAACCCATAAACTATACGCAAGACACGCGTTGTTTATCTAGTTTGTTTTGTAATGCCCATGGGATTTGTTCTGACATGCAATGGAATAGACCTGTGGAATACCAATGTTTTTTCCATGCCTTTTGACTTACTCTTAGGTCATGAGGTTCTTCCACCAGAGCTTGGTTCATGGCTAATGCTATCAACTGCTGCCTTTGATGATTCGTGAAATGAATTCTCAAGAGCTTAATCTGTTGTTGAAAGGGAAAGATTTAAGAATGGCATTTTTAAGATCGACAAATCCTAACAAGAAATATCTTTTTCTTCTAGTGTCAAGAAACAATGTTAGTTGATGTTGTGCCTTTTTTGCCAATAATTCACTAGTCAGGAAGGTCCAATGGTTCCAGCCTGATCAAATGTGAATCCATGCAATGTAAAAATCAGAAGCCTGCCCTCGAGGAGATATGGTTAGGTCAACATTACTTGCAATAAAAGCTCAGCAATTTTAAAGATCACAATGTCAAATGGGACAGGAGACGGATTTTTGTACACAAAAGATAGCATAAAACATGAAATTTTGAGAAACGGAGCAAACATTCAAGTGAACAATGATCTGTTTTCCAATTGAATCGAAGTGGTCAAAGCTTTAATGAAGAAGAATAACCTGAATCAAAAAGTTAAATGGGAGAGAGATCTTGCAAAATTATTCAATCCAAACTACTTTCTTGTTCAAATATCTGAGCCTAAAAATCTCCTCAAAGAAATAATCTGCGCTGGTATGGAAGTTCTTCATCTGACTAATTCTTATTACCATCCTTCGCAGTTCCTTTCCATATTTGAGTATTGACCCTAAGGTCCTCATTTTTTGCTGGGCATTCAGAGGCGATCTCACTGTGATCACCACTTCTTTCAAGCAGGGAATAACAAACCTCGAATCCACCTGCAGAAGAATGCATCAAATTAATATTAATTCTGAGTTTTCACCTGGGTTGAAAAGTTAAATGTGCGTATGATATATATGAACTCACGCTCTTTAAGCTGTTCTTCTGGCACAAAGCAGCAAACATGGCCCCGTGGATTTCAAAAGTCTGCAGTTTTTGATGACTGTTGAAGAAATCAACCAAATCAACTTCTGGGAAAGGTAGTGGATTGTCAGAATTCCCGGTGAACTCCACTTTCATAACCAGGTGCTTCACCTCCCTCGCACATTGCAGGATGGTGCTCACTGCGTCCCAACGCCACTGTACACCCTTGATTGACAAGAATTCCAGAGCTCCAAGTTTTCCGAATTCCACCTTGTGAACTCTACCTGAAAGGCAGTTACCAAAAATTAAATTGCAGATTCTACTTGTTATAATGGGTAGATAAAGATCCAGAAAGTCACCACCTTCACTGCTCGAGATTGAGAGGTTCCTCAAGCAAGATGTTTGGTTAACTCGAATCCAATTGCAACCTTGGATTTCAATTAACTGAACTTTTGGGCAGCTGACAGTGAGTGAGCAGTTTCCCATGCCATAGAACTCCAGCCTACACTGCTCCAGCTGTTGCAATTCAATGGAAACTGATCTCAATCCTTCACAACTACGCAGTAACAAGTTCCTTAAATTTGGGCACACACGAAATGCATCAGAAAGAGCTCTGTCCTCCATTATTGCTCCAACTATTTCGAGATTTTGGAGGTTTTTGAAGACACCCCATTTGGGAGAATGGTCCATGAGCACGCCCCAAAGCTTCAATGATTCCAATCCTGTTGCATAACCGATACAGTCTAATTTTGTTGGCATCCCATTCTGGACATGCTTATCATTCTGATTGTCCAGACGGAGCTCCAGATGCCGAAGGGAGCAGCTTGTGCTTGATAGCCATGAAGCAAGGCCTGCATTAGAGAATGGACAGTAGACCACGAGCTCTTCCAACCAGACTATTGATGAGACCATCCGGCTCACGACAGTGTCTGAATCTGCTGTACCGCAACTGTTATCAAAACAATGGCGGGGGAAGTAGAGGCTCCGGACGAATGACATTGATTCCTTGAAGCGCCTAGAGACACAAGCACAACTTGTTACATCCCTCGCGTTCCTCATGTGGGACAAAATGTATTGAACAATGGCATCTGGAAGAGCTTCCATTCTTGCAAGATGCAGTTTAATACGTACTGAGAAACAACTGAAATTGAAGGGAAAAAGAAGAAAGAATTAATCAGCGAAGTAGATCAATGCAAATTGTCGAGCGAATACCAATTAACAAACACTTGGCAGTAGAACTAGACCTATTACTCCTGTGCAGTATATCACACTGTCTAAGAAATCCAAATTCGAAGTTTATGATTTGACGGAGGCAAGTAGAAGCTAGGAATATGAACAAACTAAATGCTTATTACCTATATGAGGATGAGCATGTGCGAGAAACCATATGAGATTAATCTAAGAAAACACATGGGTATATATGTTATACAGGTAGAAACCGAGCTTCAGTTCTCCGAAGATGGATTCTGAATAGAAACCCAAATGGGGAGAAAAGTAGAAAAAGAGATAACCTGAGATCTAGTTAATGGCTTCTGAGGATGAGTTCTGAGTAATGGGGAGGAATGGTATATATAGAGAAGAGGTAATCTAAGCTTCTGTTCATGGTTTCCTGAAGGTGGGCTCTCTGAGTAGAAAGTTGAAACCGAGACGGAGAGAGGGGGAGGGTGGAGAGAGAAAGTTGTTGATGGGATTGAATCAGCCGAAGCTTCAGAAATTGTGATTTGTGAAGAGGCGCGCATATATTTCGCATGTCTGTTTGCTAGTTTTTGCGGCTTTTTTTTTCAAAATTTAAAAAAGTGAGGGATTTTCTTTTACTTTTTGCCGCGGCGTGCGCCCACGTGGCCCCGCCCAAGACCGAGTCGCAAATCGAGTTATTTTGGGCTGGGCCTGGCTCAATATAACACCGACCCTGTGAAGAGGGCTGTAATCGGGTTGTATTCGGGTCGGGTTCAATTACATCGAATATGTTCGCATTGTCGAAATTCCAAATCCGAAATCCAAAATATTGGCTGCGGATTGGATTTGGATTTATTGTCATTAAAATAAAAATTTTTAATTTGTACAATATATATATATATATATATATATATATAAAGCACTGTTTTCAAAACTGGACCGGGCCGGCAGGAACCGGTTACCTGACCAATTTCATTTTCCTCCAAAATCGTTTTTTCCTTTAAAATCGTTGATTTTGRTCAACAAATCGCTGAACCGGCCGATTAATCGTTTGAACCGTTTGAATGATTTTGACCGTTTTCTAATTTTTTAATTTCTTTTTATTTTTTTATTAGAGCAGGTTGGCCATTAAGTCGAACAGTCAAACCGTTCAAACCAGTAACCAAACCTCTGGCCGGTTCAGTCACCAAAGTTGCAAAAATCTATTAAAACGGTGTAGGCACAGGTTTGCCCTGATTCAAGCCGATCTCCAAAAATATACATAACATGTAATAAATATATACATACTTCTTTCAAAAGAAATAAAGCCATGTACTAAAACTGTCTAAGGTGGAATAGATATTGAAGGTGGAAGTGTTGAGTGTATCACGTTGATGTGGTGGGGAAAAGAAAAGCCTTCTCACATGGGTGGGGAAAAGAAAAGGAATATAGCCCATGATTAACACGTCTTGTGAAGAGGACAAAAGAAGGGATTGGAATCATGAATCAAACCTCTCTCTCTCTCTMTATATATATATGTTTTGGAGGAGCTTATTACTATGAGAAAGGGATTTTGCAGAGAAAGAGAATGTTTTGTACAAGGAAAAGTGGGGGTGGGGGGAGCTTATGAATATGAGAAAGGGATTTGCAGAGGAAAAGAATGTTTTGTACAAGTTCTACAAGCCTTTTTTAGAAGAGTTTGAATCTGCCCCCACAAGATTGCACCCCACAATGTCCCACAGCATATTCTTACCTATATTGGAAACATCTCCTAATGATAGTAACAGAAATGATGATGACATTGGGAGATGTTCCCAATATAGGGCGGGGATGTACTGGGAGACGTTGTGGGGGCTGATTTGATGTCTTTTCAGAACAAAGGGTTTATTGATACTAGGTTTCCGATATTCAAATTAACCCATATCAGGTTTTTCCTCATGAGGCTGTTATGGTTTTCAAGCCTTCAACCCTCTTACAAGGCTAGCTTCCTTTCGCCAAAAGTTTTAACGCGTTTCTCCTCCTTTGCTTCAAGGTTTTAAACTTTGGAAATTTTGGTTATTTTGGGCCTTAGGTCTATTTTCCTTTCTAAAAATTGAACAAATTTTTTTAATAAATTTCAATTACTTATTGATATTTATAGTACTTTTAACTGCTTTACATTAATATTATCAATTATTGATTTTTATTATTATTATCAAAAATTGAGGCCAAATGAGTGATCATAATCCTGAAGCTTTGATGTTTTGTCCATATATTTGTTATATTTTGATGACTATATCTTTTATTTCGATSACAATATCTAAATCGAAATTTTGAAGTGAAATTTCATTGAAATGTAGAGTCATCCCTTGATATTTGCTAGCTCTTTAAGAAGACCAAATTGGCTGGAACCTCGAACTCTCAAATGTTTAGGGCTGTAAATGGGTCAGGCAAACCCATTAGACCCGAAACAAACTAGTATGTGGCCATTTAAGTCTTTTATAACTTAAAAAAAATCTTGTGAGTTTAATTCGTAATAACTATGTATCATCAATGAAATGCTCAATAACACATATTTAAATAATATTATATTTGAAAGTTCATTATATATACATATATATATATAAACAAGGCAGTGAAGAAATTTTTTCTTTTTTTTGAATTTTTTATTTTTTATTCCACGTCATTTTTTAAACAATCAATGCGATGCACTTTCCCAACAACCTAAATAATCTATTCCCCTAAAATTTCTCCTAAACTACCTCCCCCACTATTCCCCACTTTCTCCAAAATTATCTCTAATTCCTACTTATCCTCTCTCCTATATTTTATCTATATCTATCTAAAGAAAGTTTGGATTAAAAAATTTAAAAATTATTTAAATATTCTAATAAAATTATATAATAACATTAAAATATTTATTAAAAACATAAAACATAATTTTATATTTTTACAAAATATATCATGAAATTATCTACTAACAAATTAAATTATGTTTTTCCAGATTATCAATTTAAATGTTTTTCAAATATTTAATAATATGTAATAGCTTTAAATAAATAAAATTCAAATAACAAAAATTTAAAATATTTTATAGATTATTTAAATATTTATCATAACTAGATTTTAAATAGTTAAAATAACAAAATTATATAATAAATTTAAAAACATTCTTAAAAGTAGAAAAATAATTATTACATAATATTGAAATTAATAATAATTTAATATGTTACAAAATTAATAATGAAATTATGTAATAATAGTATAAATTATGATTTTATGGATAATTAAACTCAATAAATAATTAATATTTTAAAGTTTAATTATTTTACATATTATTTAAGTATTTAAATAACTAAATAATTTAAATAACAAAAATATTTAACATAACTAGATTTTAAGTAGTTAAAATAAAGAAATTATGTAATAAATTTAAAAAATTCTAAAAAGTATAAAGATAATTATAACATAATATTGAAAATAATAATAATTTAATATTTTACATAATATTGTAAATAACTAATTTCACTTATATCAAGTAATAATTCGAGAAAATAACTTTCAAAAAAATAATATTTATTAATAATAATTTTAAACTCTTAATCTGGGTTTGTTCTATAATTATATATACTAAAATTAATATTTATTATATTTCAGTAATTATTTATTGTTTTTTGTGATAAATGTATTATAATGATTATGTATAAATTTATTTTGTTTTGTTATTTAACATAAAACTTTCAATAATTATTGGAAATTTAAATACTATTTTTTAATTTTTTTAATTTAATTTATTGTACTTATTGTATTTATTGTATTTTTGTTATAACTTATTGTTTAATTAATATTTATTAGAGATTAAACTATTATTTGAGATTATACTATTTATTGACTAACTTAATATATTTTTATTACTTATTGTACTTTTGCAATTATTGTAATTATTGCATTTTTTCATTATCAATATATTTTCAATAATTATATATTTTCGCTATAAATTTTCAATAATTATTGGAGATTAAACTAGTGTTATTTAACAAGGATAAGACTAGTAGTTTAGATAAAATTATGAGTGTTCATGAGTTGGTTTGGTTCGGTCATAGGTTATTTGGCCAACCAAATTGACCTAGTCAGGTTGGGGAGTTGGTCAGTTGAAATCGACTGACCTTTTGTGAAAACCAATGCACTCAAGTTGTATCAGTTTGGGTTGGTTTTCACAAAAGGGTAGTCGGTTCAAAAGATTTCAACTTAAAAATTAAATTAAATTTTAAAAATTATAATGCAATTATTAAAAAAATAAATTTAAAAATTAGATTTATGAAATAAAACATTTTAGACTAAGAAATATGGGAAATTTCTCACTTTTCTTATTAAAATTTATATTTAATATATATATATATATCCATGGTTAGGTCGTTCAATTTTGGTCAGTTTACAAATGGCCAAAGTGAAGCTTATTCGAATTGGTCGAATTGTGAATTTTTTGAACCAAAGCTAACATAAAACTCTAGAAAACCGACCAACTCGGGTCAAGTTGATCGGGTTGGTCGGTTTCATAAGTCTGATGAATAAACCTAACTGAAATTAATTATTGTTATTTTTGTATTATAAAAAATTTATTAAAAGTAGTATATAAAATATGAATAATTATTAATTACTTAAAAAGTTGAAAATATAAAACAATTGTAGGATCATTTACTAGAACACACCTTATAATTTTACATATTTACTTAAACCTACCTTATAATTTTCATTTTACTAAAACATCACATATGTTTTACAACTTATTTACTTAACCAACCTTTAATTAAGGAGTGTTTGTTTTGCCATTAGGCCCATGATTTTTTATTCTAAAAATACCCTTAACACTTTTTTATATAGAAAAAAATAGCCAAATAAGGGAAAAATGATATTTTTTTTCTATTTTCTTTTAATTAAATTTATTTAAATGAACATTAGGGTCAACACTGTCATTTTCCACTATCATCTAATGGAAGATTGATTAAATCCGTTGCAAATTATAAGTGGTGTTTTAGTAAAATGCTAACTATAGGGTAGATTTTAGTAAACCCATGAAACTATATAGGTTTTGTAGTAAATGAACCCTTTCTATTATTTATGTTTCGCTTAATAAATCCCATCCCCGCTAGTATCTAAAGTAAAACTTTAAAGTAGGAGTTGAAAAAGGTAGAAATTAGATTTTCTTTATATGTAAGAAAAATTTTATATGCATTCATTCTTGCATTATTTCTAGAAACTTTTTAAAAGTTCTACATGTATAATTTACCTAGCAAATGCTTATCTCCTTTAATCTTTTGAAGATTGAAAAATGCCATATAACCTAGATGTGTTTGCATTTTGTGTTTGTATGAATCATTTTGTTGCTTGTGTCTCTACATGTGTCTTCTTAAGGCTGTGTTTGGAAACAATGCAAATGAAGTGTAAATCCCGGTTCAGGGTAAATTTGTACTCTGGTTCACTTTTGTCTGTGTTTGGCAACATTACATTTTTGCATTGACAAATGATAGACCAATGCATATTTACATTGATAATAAGATGTAAAAGTACATAAATAAAAAAAGAAGT